CCTCTGCTCTGTCCTGGCATACCTATCGATCACATCTTCTCTAGATCTAGCCAGAAGTGAACCTTAAACCTCACCCTAAAGCTCCTACAGAAACCTTACTCGTTTGTTAGCCACCTGCTTTTCTGGATCACTACAAGTTTTTTTCTAAAAATCATGTGAAATTTTACCTCTCACTGAGCACAGAACAGAATTACCAGCCTTCCCTGTTCACCTGCTTTGCTTTCAGGGAGCCGTGCCTTTCTGGACAGGGATGCCACAGATGCTACTGCATCAGGCACTTACCAACAAGTGTCACCAAGTTCCTTACTTCTACTTCCAAGCCATTGGGAGCACTTCTCTCAGTCTCATCATGAGACAAGTCTGGTTTGACCTGACAAAACATCCAAACTCACGTTCCTCTGAATTCATCAGCAGAAAAGGCTAAAACCCAGGAACTAAACAACTGGGGTTACTCTTCCCGCTGTAGTAGGAAAATTCCCTCTTGCTCGTTGTGAGCATTTGCTTGAACTTCCCTGCTTCCCAGAACACCACAGGAAAAGCAGACACTGCAACCAGAAGGAAAAGAAGAGCACAAAAGGAGGTCCTGACTGTGCGACTGAGGAGCTCTTTCAAAGTATAAAATGAAGCACAAGACTCGTGCAGGTTCTTGTGTATCCTGCCATTGTGGAGCAATGGCAGTTATTACTCTTAATGTTAATTCTGCAATACACATCTGCTGCTGGTCCCACCAACCAAAGACTGCACAAAGATCACCTTGCAACGAAAATCACTTCAGCTTCATTTATTTCTTTAACGTCAGTGGAATCATAGAGATCACTTATAACCTTGCATGTTAAGTAAAGCAATTAATTGCACGACTGCACCAGGTTTAGACATGAAAGGCAGACTTAATAACAGGTTTAAGGAAAAAGGCTTAGAGTAGGGGTTCAGAATGCAGGATAAAGGTTAGTGGCAGCTAATACCAACTTGTATATAGAGAGCAAGGTTAATAGCTGGCTTAAGACTGTGCTGCTTTTTTATTGATCTGAACAACGTACGCAATATGGGAGGTGGGACATCAGTGTTTTGATGGGAAGCAAGTGGCAGAAGCACCAAGATGCCCCTTCATTTGAATCATGTGGGTACAATAGGGCACCTAACACTTTGCAGAGTTTGAAGGTGAACTGACATACAGCTCTTATTTTCAAGGAACGTGAGAAGCCTACTTTGCGTATTCCTGAAAGAAACGTCATAAGCATGTTTGGATGTTGGGCTCCTCAATACCTTTTTAATACCTTTTTATTCTTAATGTTCTTAACACGTGCTTAGAGCAAGCAGAAGTGGAGGTTGGCAGGGAAAGATCAGCAATTGCCCACCCATAATTCATTTCCCAGGCTGTTCCCAGGGCACAGCGATTATGCACTTCACCTCACTCAAGACCGGCTGTAAAATCTCAGTATTGTCCTTAAGTGCTAAATCAAAGTAAGCAAAAACGGCAGGTAACTGTTTCCCACACAACTAACGCCCTTTGTAAGAGAACTATTGAACTGAAAATGAAAGGCATCCGTAGGTGCATAACCAACATTTTTAATTTTACTTGTAGCGATCCAAGGCGCTGTTTAAACAACGATGCTATTACAGATTTACTTAGCCGATTCCTTTCTGAGTGCACCAGAACCCTGATCCTTCCAACAAAGAATGTCAAACAAAGCAGCATTAGGCAAGTTGCTGTGAAACGAAGGCATATTTGCACAGCAATAGAAAGATCTAAATGGGACCCTAACGAGCAACCAAATAGTAACACAGCTGAGGGCATTGCTTTGTAGGAAACAAGTGGCTATTCTGAACCCTGAAGTGCCAAATGTACCGAGTCACAAGAGCTCACTAAAATGAGAGCAAACATCTCAATCCTTTGTATCTGAGTACTTACAAAGCTCAAAGCAGCTTGGGGTTTTACCCTCCACAGCTCGGTGAGGATATCTTCACCATTATCGCATAGCACTTCTCTGTATATTGGCTCGGTTTTACTTAAGCTTAATGCATGAGAGGAACTTAATATCGGACAGCTTTGAGTAGCTCATGATGAAGGATGGCTAAAAAGAACACATACTAGCCTTTATATCTGACAACGTAGGGGGTGAAGAGGTGCTCAAAATATTTGGATTTTTGTTTTCACATCGATTCCATAGTTCCCACTTTAACAGTGTACCTCCTTTGTCACTGCTGCTCTGCCCTCTCTAGCTCCAAAGCTACAGCTAAAGCGCATCCAGCATCCATTCCCTCCTGCCCTGCTCTGGTGTCCCAGCAGGACCATAGCCAAGTCTTCTGCCAGGATGCCTCACCTTGTCAGCTGAATTCCTCATCCTAGAAACTGCCCCTTCACTTTGCTGAATGTTTGGGGACGCAGATAAATTATAAAATGGTAACGGAAATACAACAAGATATCTTTCTTTCCAGATTAGATAATTATCCACTGAGAAATAAAATAGCAACAACAAAACAGCTTCAAATTATTCTGAATGTAACGGAGTCTTTTCAGAAACACCCCAACGCCTGAGCAACCATTTCTTTACTTGGAGGAGGGGGAAATGCCATAAAGCTTAAGGAGTATTTTGTTGGGGAAATCACATCTTTCCCTATTTTCCAGCTGACACATTGCACTGCAAATCTGTCACAGCACATTACCTCGGTGATGTAACGTAACGCAACACTGCTGATGCAACCCGATCTGATGTGTCTAACGTGATACATCAGGTACAATATTTGAGAAGCTTTTTCTGAAAACAACCTCTGTAGAAGAGATTCCTTCCCTCTTTACCAATTATGCATTAAAAAAAAAAAAAAAAGCCTTCCCAAAGAATTGCATCACCAGGAGATAATTGCTTTTTCACAAGTAATTAGCAAATACTATTAGTTGTGGGAAAGGTTTGCTTTTCAGCAATTCACACCTAAAAAATAGTGAAAACAAAAAGATTGTTGCTGACAACAGCTTCCAATGGCACCAACAGAACGCACCTGAGCAGCAGCGGTTACAGGGTCAGATCACGCCACCACTGGACTCATTTTCTGTTTCCCACCAATGCTCACAGCATAACCAAAAGTAGATTTCCACCTTGTGAACCCTTCACAACCTGACTGACAGCTAATTTTGCTAATCTCTGCAGTAGATGTTCATCACAGAATCAAATAAAGATACACCTCTCAGCACGGGAAGCTCTGCAGACTGCCTGCAATCCTTCAGAAAACTGCTGGATTTTACATACAGAAGGACGTGGTCCACATCACCATGATCAGATGAATAGTAAGGATTAATGGCCTTAAATATTCTACTGAAGTGGCAGTGGTATTTGTCAGCAGAGGAGACTTCAGGTGAAGCAAATGACCCATTACTGCATTGATGGCAGCCATCCAGAAAGCAGCAGCAACCACCTCTCCTCTCTGTATCACTTGATGGAAGGCAAACAAAGCTAACCTCACAGAACAGCTTGGGTTGGAGGGCACCTCGAAGAGCAGCCTGTTCCAACCCCTGCCATGGGCAGGGCTGCCAACCACTCCATCCATCCATCACTAAGTCCCCACAAACTCTGTCAGTGGCTGCTATGGAGGGCTTCAGAGGAGGAAGCAGCCACCCCTCCACGGTGCTCCTTTTCCCTCTCCTTTTCCCTTTCCCTTCCCCACCCAGTGCTGCCCTGTGCAGGCTGCCAGCAGCAGGACTGGGGCACAGACAGAGCGCCAGGCCCTTCCACTCGCTGCTCAGGCTGATTTTTCAAGTGTAAAATGTAATTCAAATCTCCATAAAAAGCTATTTGCTCCCTAGCCTCGCAATTCTTACACCAAGTTTCAACCGTGAAATCCAATTGGAGGAAAAAAAAAAAAAAGAAAAAAAAAAAGCAAGCAGACTTATGCTCAAGGTCTGAAAATCCTGCAAGAGCCTTTAACTCTCACACTGAATTGTATCTTAAATGGCATCTGACTGGTTCTGTCTCTCTCCTCTGAAGGGATGGCACAGTGCCTGGTCTCTATAAGCCAAATCCTGAGAGCTGGGCACCTCCCCAACCTAAATTCAGGTACTCGTGGGCTATGTGCCCCTCCACAGAGCTGTTCTAGCAAGAGAATCAAAGTTGAGCTTTCTGGAGTTTGAAAATATGGCCCAAAATGCAACGATGCAAATTGATCTCTGAAATGTAGAGCCCACCCTGCCCAGCTCTGAACACTGCATATCATATCACAGCCCCCCCTGTACCAGGCACACACACATTTCCAGCCCTTCACGATGCACTGCTGCTCTCTTTGTTGAGGCAATTCAGCAGAGAGCACAAATCCTGACGCATCTATTCCATGACCTGCTCCATCTTCTCTCCTAGTATGGATGATGCATTTTCCTCATTAGAAATGCTTATGTTTAAAACAAGATTAAATTACTGAGGATTGAGCAATGGGCAAAGAGATTTTTAAAAGGTTTGACACTCGGTCCCATTTCCAGCCAACACTCAAAAAGTTTGATGTATATCTAGACATTCCAAAGCTCTTGAATATAAGAATTCATCACAACACTCAGGAACACAGGTTGATACTCCATCTGCTACACAACAGTCAGACAATTCAGGAGCCTTCATCACTTCAAACATTTTCTGAATCAGGAACTTTCAGTAGGTCCAAGGATGGTAACAGCACAGGGTTACCAAGAGCCCAAATTCTAACTCAGAAATAGATAAAGCTTTCAATTGTCACAGTTGCTAATTCCTTAGTTAACCTGAGTTATAGGAAACAACATAACGATTTCTATTTGCACGTTCTGCTCCAATGCCATAAATCATAACCACAACCTCGACTGGGCTCTCTACAGGCACAGAAACAGGCAAAAATCATTAATCTTTCATTAAACACAAAAGAAGTTTCTGGCTTTTATGATGATAACACAGAGCTTGAAAATACAATCTATGTGTATTCTAAAGGCTCAGAATGAGCCTCGTGTTATCGGTGTATCATTAGCTACAGATCGTCTCCTTTCTTGTCAACAGGATGTGAGATATTTCTGAAGAGCCCTGAAGTGATGTGTGCCACGTGTGTGAATTGCTCCACACACCCAACCCAGCACCACGTGCCACCTGACTGCCTCATGCTCGCAGAAGACAGAAATCAGAACAGCTTTTTCCAACCCAAACCTCTCTCTGGGTTTTCTCTCCTGACTTCTGAGTGTGAAGGCATACCGCTCTCAAAAGGCATTCTGAAACTTCCAGCCATCCCTTGTATCACACATCTTTTGCTTTCTGCTTTTATGACCAGCCCGTATGACCCATGGGACCCCGTGCTTCTGGGTGAAATCAGCCACCCCATCAGAAAGCCATCGTGCAGAGACAGTTACTTCTCTGCCATCACTATTCACCCCATATCCTGCTTTCTGTTGGAAGAAACGTTGGCCCGGTTGTCTGGCTTCTAATTAAGAACACTTCATTATATCTCAGGGGACTGGGAAACCTCATATTTATGTAGCACACCTATGGCTGCAGGAAAAAAACATCTTTTTTCGAGTCATGGGTTTTGTTCCATGACATGGCAGTTAGTTATCTGCAGCAACGTCAGGTAACAGCACCACCTTCTGCCAACATGATACCATCTCCTTAGAAAACCAACAGATTCATTTTCTCTCTGTGATTTCCATGGCTTTCTCAAACATTTCTGACGCAGAACAACAACGCCCTAAAGGCTGTTTTGAAACACCCCAAGCTGCCTTGAACAGTGATGAAATTACCAACATGTAGCCAACTTTAGAGGAGCACTGAATGCCCTGAGCTGGGCAACACAACTCTTGCTCCTGGGAGGACAGCTGAGCACACCCATCTGAGTCTTCATGGAAAACTGCCTTCTTCTCCTCCATCTTTCACATAGGTCCCCAGAGCTGCACACAAGGCTACGTCCTAGATCTTTAGATGACATAAGCTGCCTGAAAATAATCATCTTTCTTACTTTTTTCCTCTAGGTTCTCTTTGTCCTTAGCAGACAACCCGGGGCTGCCCTGCCTTCAGCTTCAGACAGCCAAAATTTAGGCAGTTGGCTTTCAGAGAGATGAACATTACACAGTATAAGTATTCACTTTTAAGAGCAAAACTGTCTTTACCTCCACAAACGCCCTATTTTCCTGACAAATTCTTCCTTCCATGTGGGACCGAGGTGCACACAGATCCAAGGAACCCAGGAGAAATGGTGTCAGTGGACACATAGGTGAAGAATAAGGTGCTGATGAGCCAATCAATAAACCAGTAATTAGCTCTGATTGGGTTTTGGTGTTTTGTTGCGTTATTTTTCTGCTGGTTTTGAAAAAAGTTTGCTTATCTTAGTTTTATAACCACTTAAATGAATCCCAGCTCTGTTCAAATCAATGAAAGCTTTTGTGAGACAGCTGTAATTTTATGTGCATGTGTTTCAGTAAATTAGAGGGTTTAGCCTTAAGGATTCACTTTAGTGTAATCTACTAAAAAGATAAGTAGAGCCAGATGCAGTGTCTTACAACCACTGGACAGTCGCAACTGGAGCGACAGCACTGACAGCAACTTTATGGCTTTCCTCATAGGGAGCAGATTTCCTGACTCAAAAAAAGCAGTATTTTACATAAATAATTGTAAATATTTTGTATTTACAATGCAAAGAAAGAAGGGTGCAAGTAGTAGGAAGAAAAAAAAATTAGCCCAGGCAACTGATGATGGCTTTCTTGCATTCTGTTTGTGCACAACTGTGGAAAAAGACAATCTGTAGCTTAAACCATTTAACTAAATTAAATTCTAGTTAGCATCTGGGATCCCGTCAATAAGAGTCTATATTTCTGAGAAGCCACAGACTGGTGGCAGTAATAGACACATAAAGAATTTAATAGGTAAATAAATTTGTTGCTGCATTTCTTTCGCTAGCAGAATGCAGCCAAACAGAGTAATTAGTTGTTAGATATCTGACTGTAATGAGAAGGATCCTCTAACTATTACAAATTCTCAAGAAAGAACGTTCACATCATTAGAAACGTTCATTTGTTCTGAAGCACATTCACTCGGCACCAGAAGTTGTCACCTGGTCCCTCACTCTACGTAAATCTTTAATAAAAGATTTTCATCACCCTTAGAAAGCGATTTGCAGAGTCACCATCAGCCAGCGATCATTTCCCATGTCTGTCCCAAATCACAATGAGAAGGATAAACGTCAGTGCAGTTTGGCTACAAATCCACAAACACTGGGTTGTCCCTCCATGCTTTTATCTGTCGTTGTTTATAAATCCCCTAACTCCTGAATTCACACTAGGGCTGTGCATCCAGTAATTGGCTCCAATAAATCCTAAGCGTTAAGTGTTTGTCCCAGTCTAAACAGCCTTTGTAGCTTCAGGATTTTACATTCAGGTAACCATCAGTGCAGCAGGCCTTTTATCAGCACGGTTTCAGAGCTGGTACCACCAACACACACACAGGGCTGAGCTCAGCAAGGAGCTGGACATGGGGACCCGAGGCTCTGTGTGCCCGCTCGTCTTTAACAGCTGGGGTAAAGCTGACCCTATAGCTGGAGGTGTGCCAGCATGCTGCAAACCAAAACCAGATCTCCTGACATTGAATCTATGCCTCATTCGTGCAAATCCATTTTCTTCTGGAATGCAGTTTGCCACTTCTGGATGGTTTGGGGACCAAATTCCCATTCAAGTCACCCAGGGTGAAATGTGAACATGGACTGATGGCAGTGCAATTGCATTTTGGAAACTACTATGCAAAGTAAGTCTGGTGGAGCATCACAGTTCATTTTCAATGGCCACACCTCCAACTTTCTCATCACTGTTTAGTCACTAGCTTCCAAAACACAAACCTCCAAACTCAACACAAAATCTGCAAAAATACTAGGTTGCTATCTTTCTGACTCTAATTTACCACCATTAACAAAGACATTTCATACAGCAGGAGGAAGGACTGCAAAGCCACTGTAAAGACAAAGAGCACAGAGCCCCCAGCATTAGAGAGCAGATGATGGGCCCAGGCTGAGGACAGGGAAATAACGAACCTAATTAAAGCACCGAATGCAGGGATGGGCTGCCCACAGTACCTTAATTTTGTCACTAAAGTGGATACAATTCGGAACACCCTGGAAAGATGACATTCCCATTGAAAGAAAATCCTTTTCTGCTGACAGCCAGATGGTGAGAGCTACAGGAGCTCACTTCTTTAGCTGGGAGGGAGCAGAGCTGATGGGACATTCTTGGTTCAGACCAACAGCAGAGAGCTTCAAAGCTAACAACAGAGACAGAGCAGGGTCTGAGCTTGACTGCAGCTCTGGATGTAGCACAACATGCATTCTTCTCAAATAGACTGACATCTGGCAAACACCTGAATGGGAAAACTACCAGCAGTTTCGTGTTTGCTGAAATGTTCATCTCGTCTTCTTTTTTCTTTTTTTTTTTTTTTCCTGAATTGCCAACAAGATTACATTTTCTTTATTGCCCTCTCATTGATTTGTTCCTCAGAAGCAAATGACAGCATTTCTGAGAAATAAGTAACCAAATAAAATAAAGCAGAGAGGCAATCTGCATGTAAATCAGCATTAGTCATTGACATTTGAGACTTGACAATAAGCCACCCCAGTCCCAGCTGTCCCCACAAAAGCTGATCTCCTTTGTAAGACAGAGAACACTGCAAGCAAGTGGAACCAAGGATGAATATAGATAAGATACAAACTCTCTTTGCTCAAAGTTTTTCCTACAGCCTCCTTTGCTCTGAGCACCCAGGAATACTCCTACCGCTGGCTGCTATTGGTGTCAGCACTGTCTTTGGCACTTTCCTTCCAAGGAAGCTGGCTCCCTTCGTGTGAAATTGTTTACGATACATTTGCTGTGTGCGCAGTTGCAGCTCAGACGGCTGCTTAATGTGCAGTGCAGTCATTACTCTGTTCTCTGTACTAGGCACCACCTGTAGTAAAAGCTATTAGGTTAAGTTCTGCCTTCCTACTTTGTGAATAATTGCTTTTACTCTCAATTCCAGCGCTGCTCAGAAAACACTGTTGAGCAAAAACAGAGATTTGTGTTTATATCACAGATATTGATGGAGATTACGCCTGGGTCTGAACAGCACCACAGCCATTGTATCTGGCCAAGCCAAGCTGCTTAGCTCCAGCCCTTACCCACATTTCTTCTGAAGCTTCAGGTATGATTTTATGTTGTTCTGACCTATCTCATCTGTGCCAGTGGAAGGAATTTCAGTTGCTTGTAAGGATGAGGGCCCTCTGAGCAGTGAGGAAAACACAGGCACACTCCATGGCAATAACCCAAAGCCAGGGCAAGGTTTCTACTGCTGCCAAAACCCTATAAACCTGCACTCCCCTACATCCCAAAAGCGGGAGATGCTGCACAGCATGAGAACAAAACCTTTCCCGGTGTTTCCCTTAATCTGTTAAGCAACAGAGAACATCAGGTATCTATAGCCCCAAAAAAGTAGTTCACTCAAATGTGCCAGCAACTAAATATAGCTAAATTATGCATTAAGTACAGCTTATGATTCTCTTTTTATGGAGGAGACTACTCTTCTTGCAGAGGTGCATCAGTGAGCCCATTTTGACTGTTCCTGAATTTCTTTGTGGAGAAGCTACCCTGGTTTCATACGGGATCTTTCAGTGCCTTTTTTGTTGGTTAAACTGGAACTCCTGCGTTGACCTTCTAGTTAAAGAGTGGGTGGAAATACCTGCACAGGACTTTGACTTCTGTGGGGCATGAATGGCTGCCAGGTCTATGGGTCGATCCTTTTCACTTAGGTTTTTAGTTTTATTCTTTTCTATTGAGGCTGTAGAAAACCATAAAAACAAAACCCCTGCCACCCTTTTCCTTCAATCAAATTATGGAGAAAACACCTCTAAAGTCCCAAAGCCTTAATTATGTGCATAAGTTTCAGCATAATGTAGGCTTTGTGTTTCTAAACAGAGCAATGAGGTGATGGAAGAATGAAAATACTGATTTTCTTTGGCAGAGACGAGGAGTCTCAGCCTTGGGTTTTTGCAGGAGTGTTACCAGCTTCACCAAGTCTAATTATCTTTATGCACTGGGGTCATGTCTACATAGAAATTGAGGAAGAGTCTGATCAACAGCTGAGATGACAACCAAACGCTTAGAAACACTGGTCCATATTAATCTCCCCTGCATTTTCTATGCTTGTTTATGCACAGACAAGCACAGATCAAAGCTCCTCTATTCTCCTGTAGATGACAAGGTCTGAAAGGCTGGAAGAAGCTGACCCTTGCAGAAAGCTCATGAAAGGTCATGTACCCATTAAGAAAACTGGAGAAGCCTGTGCATCAATCCTCAGCTGGATGAGCGTGCCCTCCTCTACAAGGTGACTGTTCAGGACACAAGTGAATGTCACATTCCCAATGTTTTTAACATTATCTGGTTACTGGAAGCTGTTACCTTTACTGTGATGCCTTATCTTGAGCATGCATTATCATGCTGGACCTTACCATTCTTAAAACGTAAGATTTCCCTGCCCCACTTCTTTTCCAGTATCCCACTTTGCTCTATCGTGCTTCCTCTAGCAAACCTCCACATCAAAAAGTCAGTTACAACAACACAAGAACCATTAATGACTAACATGCCAAGAAAATGTTAGAACAGGATGGAGCCTACCCTGAAAAAATGTGCCATTCTTCCTGTATTTTCTGCAGTTGTAGCTATACTGTCACATCACATCAGCTCATCAGCCCCTGTGCGCCCAAAGAGAAACCCAAGGAAGAAACACGCTTTCTGAAGTGATGAGAGACAGAGATGAGGGTGTCCTTGCAGAGGGCAAGGAAGACTGCTTCAGCTACAGAGTGAGCAGCAAACATGCTTTACAGGGACAGGTGTGCTTTGGGGACAACAGACTCCTTTCCTGCCCACATCTCCAGTGTCTGAAGAAAAGGCAGGGTTTGGCATTGAACCTCACATCTTCCCAGGATGAGCCTGGAGACGGATCCTTCCCTGCCTTGCACTGTAACCCCAGGCACAAGTAACAACCACATGAATGCACACGGTTGACATGCTCACAGTGCCTCATATCTTCTGCTGTTTAGGTAACAACAAACAAATCTACAAACAAAACAACAAACATAATCTATCTGGGATCACTGCCCTATGTATACTGCTTGTCAGCCAACCTATATTTCTTGTCAACAAGTTTTCATATTTCAAATTTTGGAAGAATATTTCTGTTGCCCTTTCCACATCGCCGTACTCCTCCTTCCTTTTCAGCTTTACTCACAAGCAGTTCATTTCAAAAAAAAAAAAAA